TGCATGCGAAAATAGTACCAATAATACTGCTTATCAGAATACCAATGGCATTCATTTATGATAATCAGAATGGTAAGAATAAGAAAAACCCAATCATGGCAATTGTTGGAATCGATGTAGTGATTGCTGTAGGCTTGAGCACCCCCACACTGTACTGGTAGAGTTTGGCCTGTGTTGTTTGAGGTTCGGGCCTAGGGTTAGGAGTTTGGGATTTTTGGGTGTACGGGATTTCGCCCCAAGCCGGATCTTTTGACCTGATCTAGGCCTATGGCTTCGACGACGGCTTGATTCTTCATTTCAAGGATCAGGGGCCTCAAAAGGTAGGATGAAGGTAGGTGGGGTAATCCCAAACTAGGGTCCTGATTTCAAGGATCCCTCATCCTACCTACCTTCATTCCACCTTTTGAGGTCTCCAAAAGAACCACACCCGAAACAGGGTGATCTGGGACAAGGCTTTTGCTCACACTCCGAGCCAGACTCCACATTGGCCCAAGTCTTGTGCCCAATCCAGCCTCGAACCGCCCTAAACCCTAAACCTAAACCCTAACCCCTAAACCCTTAAACCCCTCAAAAAACAGCTAAACCCCTAAAGCCCCTAAACCCCTAAACCCTAAACCGTTTGGGGTGTACGGAGAGCCACGGTTGGGTTTTGGGGTTTACTACGGTGGCCTTAATCGTTCGAATAGGGATTTGGGGTATATCGTACTATACTTATAGTAAGGAACCCCCAAAACAGTATAGATAATGATGAAGGCCCCTATAGTAGGCTTTCGGGTACGGTTTACGGTCTAATAGTTAGGATTTAGGGTAAAGGGGTTTTGCCAGCACGACGATCTTTCCGAGCTGTAGTTCTGCCATGGCCAGCAGGGCTTTTGCTTGAGTTCATGTTTCCGCTGTTTCCGCGGACCTTTGTTGTGACTTCCTCGTTGCCGGTTGCAGGGTTCGAGCCGGATCTGGCTTTCCTTATCGAACCTTTACAGCCCCTTACGCAGCCCCTAAAAGTGGCCTTCAGGGTTCTAAGGTGAACCCTAAGCCCCGAACCCTTAAAGTCACCCTTCATCCAGGCCCTCCATGCCCGCCAAACAACTCTTTGATTCACCCTCTATACCCTCAACCCACAACCCTCAGCCCTAAACCCTAAACTCTAATCCCCTCAACCCACAACCCTAAACCCTAAACCCTAGACCCTAATCCCCTAAACCCTCAACCTTCTGCTTCAAAGGAGCTTTTCAAGAGTACAGGAGCCCTGGAAGAGTGGCGGTTGAAGAAGCTCTAAGAAGGGAGCCCTTATGGGTGGTTGTCAAAATTAGGGTCCCTTTTTGGGTCCCTATTATAATAGGGGAACCCAAAAAGAGACCTAATTTTGACAACTACCCATATATAAGGCCCTTCGACCCATAATTGGAAGTACATATTTATAGGCCACTTGGGTTTATATGACAGGAAAATTGAAAACAGTGCCGAAGGAGAAGCTAGCTAAAGTTGCCTTTACAGCGGTTGTTCCCGATGAAGCAGACAGGAACCAGACAGTAGCCCTTGGAGTATTGGTAAACCTATCGAACCCTTATAGAACCCTTATGGCACCCTTATAGAATCCTTATAGAATCCTTATAGAACCCTTATAGAACCCTTATACCTCATAGAACCCTCATAGAACCTTCATAGAAAACTCACAGCGCCCGAAAAGAACGAACCACTTGGAGCCCCCTAGTCGACCTTATCCAAGGGTAGAAGGAGGGACCCTTAATAAGGACCCCTAGGTGGTTTAGGGTTTAGGGTTTAGGGTTTAGGGCCCTAGGTATATACCATTGAAAAAGCTATTATATAACCATTATATAGCCCATTATAGGGACGGGTCCCCATTAAGGGTCCCTCCTTTTCCCCTTTGAATCAACCCTAAACCCTGAATTAAGGGCCCCTCCTTTTCCCCTTTGATTACAGCGCCGCGAGTTCGAGAGCTGGCTGGGCCTTCGGATTTGGGCCTCTGGGGGCGCATCGTGGGCCAGCAGATCTGTTAAAAAATGAGCCAGCCTGGGCGAGTTTTTAGGGTTTAGGGTTTTAGGGGTTTAGGGTTTAGGGTTTAGGGTTTAGCCAGCCTGGGCTACCTTAAGGATTCTTTCTATACACGAACCCCAAAAAGGAACTATTTTGGGGCCTTAGGGTAATGAGCAGAAAAGGGAGTTCGGGTTCAGTGGTAGTTCTCTGAATCAGGGCCCCTTTTAGGGTCCTTTTGATCAGGGTGCGTACTTTTCTGGGGACCTAAAGCTGGACCCTAATACTTAAAGAGCTATCCCAGAGTTTGGGTTTAGCTTCCAGGGCTTTCCTAAGGTTGTTCATGCAGCCTTTGGTGTATTTCCTTTAGGTGTCCCAGGGATTTGACGGCTTCATGGGATTGGGAAACCCTAAAGCCCTAAACCCTAAACCCTAAAGCCCCAAACCCTATAGGCCCTAAACCCTAAAGCTCTCCAGTGGTTGAGGCTTCGGGGTGTCGGGTTTTGCGGGTAAGCGCCTGCTTGGAGGGGCAGGGGACTTAGTAAGTAGGTTATAAGTAGGGTTATAGCTGGGGCAACTCCATTTTGGGTACTTATACTACTTATAACCTATTTACTAAGTCCCCTGCCCCTCCAAGTGGAGTTAGAGGTTTTCTGGATACGAATCCCGGAGCTTCCCTGCCCCGAAGCCCGTAAGCTTCCATAAGGAGATCACTTTAGGGTTCAGGGTATAGAGTTTACATAGGGGTTTAGGGTTTAGGGTAATTATAGTATGGAGTTTAGGGGTTTAGGGTTTAGGGTACAGAGCTTAGGCTGCAAAACCGCATCTTGCAATGAAACCGACAACACAGAAGGCATTTATCCGAAACCGCGCAGCCCTACTCCCTAAAGCTCAGCCCCTGAAACCCCAAACAGCCCTGCAACACTTCTGTATGTCATGCTTTGGCAAGCCCTCACCAGCACCCTAAACCCGTAAACCCGTAAACCCTAAACCCTAAAACCCTAAACCCCAAACCTTGCAACGCCGGGTCATGGAAGCCCAGACGCAACACCCGATCCTCCCTGCAGCGGCTTTGGTCCAAAGGAAAGAACACATGGAGGGGCAGCGAGCCCGAGAGTAGAGGCAAGCACATCAGCATCGTTCGCTCCGTCATGATTCTGAGCTTGCTACGTTCATTGAGAGTGCTGCTAGTAGTGTTGTCGCACATGCGGATATTGTCATTATTCGTCGCACCAGGAATTTTTTCAGACTATTATATTCAGTGTTCAAGTCAGGCCTAGATGTTTTTGGGATCGAAACGTGCATCTTAAGTTTCATGGCTTTTGCATGGGGTCTAATTAATTAGTAGGAACATGCTGTAGCTAGGAAGAACATGTTCTGTCGGAGTCTAAAATCACTCTCGTGACAAGGTCGCTTAGCCTTTGACACCAACAGTTCCATTGCATGGCTTCGAAGATGCCACCCGTGCTATTTCAGCTGGTTTGGCTGCTTACCGGCATGTCCCTGGCGCAGGAAGATATTGACGTATGCACCCACATCAAGAACAGATTGGGTGCTGAGACGTGTGTCGATACTCTTCAGTCTGGTTTTAAAGGTTTCCGCTTGAGCGGGACTGTCGAAAATCCTTTGCGCTATGCTGACCTGGGCTTTGATGACAACATTGCAGGGGGAGCCACGCCTGGAGCCATGAATGTCTGCATGCTGGCAGCCTTTGGCAACGGTGGGGTTGTGCCAGAAGCCTGCGTTCCTACTTCGGGAACAGAAGCCGCCGAGTGGAACGGACGACCGGGGTTACACTACTTCGGCATGCTTCTGGGTTCTTGTTAAGGGATTTCAATTAAAGTTACCATAATAAGGAAGCCTCATTAATTAATCACCTATAGATCCCTCTTATGGTAACTTAAACTAAATTCCTTCACCCCTACATCCTTTTAGAACCCTTAATTATGATAACGCAACTTAAATTCCTTTAGCCTTAAACCCTCAAAGGAACCCTTTTTGGAACATTTTTGCTATGGTGACTTAACTTCAGTGCCTTAACCCCTAAACCCTTCAAGGAACCCTAGATTATGGTAACTTATCGCTAAGTTCCGTACCCTAAACCCTAAACCCTAAACCCTAAACCCTCAAAAAAAAACCCTAAACCCTAAGAAGAGCCCAGGCTTGGCTTCCCTTGCGGCTTCAACTTTAGAGCCCTCGAGGCGGGAGAGTTTTTGCAAAACCTGCTCTACTTAGGGGTACTTAGGGTTTAGGGTTTAGGGTTTAGGGTTTAGAAGTACTTTGTAATTTTTGGTTATGATAATCCCTAAGAAACAGCTAGAATTATAATTGTTGCTGGGGTTCTAAGTTCAGTATAGTTAGGGTTTAGGGTTCAGGGCTTTCGTCTTTAGGGCTTTGGGGCTTCAGGGTTTAGGGTTTATTGTTTAGGGCTTTAGGGTTTAGGGGAAACGCTATTTCTAAAAAACGCTCCAGAGCTTTCGAGGAGGGAGAGAGCATCGACTGGACCTTTCCCACAGGGAACACCTGTATCGGGGACGTGGACTTAGATGTGGGGCTACTGGGCTCTTGTTAAGGAGTTTAGTTTAAGTTACCATAATAGGGATCTATAGTAAATATAATAAGGTTTCCGTATTGCGATAACTGTAATTACATCCCTTAACAAGAACCTAGGTTAACATCCCTAGTCTGCATGTTCGACATGGCCTGTGAGCTCGGGACTACGACTACAACTACTGCCACAGGTTTCGCGATAACGAGCACATCAACTAGCACTCTCTCCTTGACGAGCACTTCGACAACAACTCCAACTACCAGAACAACGTCCATCTCAACATCAACAACACCACCAAGCAGCACAATGATATCGACACGATCAACTTCGACGACGTCTTCTTCTGCATTTTCCACCACGGCCATTCCCATCATGCTGACTACCACGTCGAGCCCTTCCTCTACGGTCACACTCACAGACGGTGTTCCCGTCCTGCTGACTACCACACCGACCCCTTCCTCCACGGTCACGCTCACCGGCAGTTCTACAGTTGCCATTACAGTCACTGGCACGACTGCTACAGAAACAGCGAGCATGACCGCGACGTCCACCACCACAAGCATGACTGCGTCGCAAAGCACCAGCACCTCCACGACGACATCAGTTACTAGTCTGGGAGCATCCGCATCAGCAACGATGACAAGCACGATCCGTACGGCCACGCTCACTAGCACCTTAAGCAGCGCCGAGCTGTCGGTGTCATCTACTAGCTCTGCGCAATCCTCCAGCACAATGACCGCCACTGGCAGTGATGACAACCTAACTGGGCCACCTTGCTCAGAGGCGGGTTCGTAAGGTTACACCTGTTACACCCTAAACCCTAAACCCTAAACCCTAACCGCAGGGATCATTTGACAGTAGCTTCGGGACAGATGCCATTCTCAACCCCATTCAGTCGAAAAGTTCCAGGTGCCGATGGTTCCCAACAGTGCAGACTTGACCTACTGCCGCTGGGCTGCTGAGCAAGTTACTCGTAGCACCACAGCCCACAGCCGTAATCTGCAAACCGTTAGTGTTGATTAAACCCTAAGCCTTAACCCACATGCTAAACATTGAGACCCAGAATCCATGCTCCGTCACCCGCTAGCGCTCTGGTGGTGCCGGCACGAAACCTGCGACGAAGGGTCAGACTGCTACGACTGTGTCTGGTCAAAGGGACCCTTAGGGGGGTAGGGTGAGGGGGGGTAAGGGGCTTCAATGTCCATAATAAGGACCTGATAAGGCCTTGTTCAAGGAAGGATAGTCCCCTACCCCCCGCCCCCCCCTACCACGCTAAAGGTCCCTATGATTCAGGGCCCAGGGCTTGGATAGGGTTCACTAACTTGTGAGGCCAGCAAAGAACTGCGGGCAACACAAGCGATCCGATCAGTTCAAACGACACACCATTGCAATCGTATTGCCGCGATACATTTGGTACTATTCGAACAAGAATGAGGCAACAGTCATGACCCAGTACTGCTCGAATCATGTCCCAGCATCGTGCAGCGATTCAGGATTCCCACAAACACACTCGAGGAAGCCACCACTGTTGGGAGGAAAGTGGAGCTTTTTGTTGCTAACCAGGAGTTTCCTGATCCTGGTTCTTCGCAGCCGTGCGTGGTGGTGGTCGTCCTTACCGTCGTAGTAGTCGGAGTAGTGAGTAGTAGTGGTAGTAGTAGTGGTAGTAGTAGTGGTAGTAGTAGTAGTAGTAGCAGTAGCAGTAGCAGTAGCAGTAGCAGTAGGAGTAGTAGTAGTAGTAGTAGTAGTAGTAGCAGCAGTGGTAGTAGTAGTAGTAGTAGTAGTAGGAGGAGGAGGAGGAGGAGGAGGCGGAGTAGTAGTAGTAGTAGTAGTAGTAGTAGTAGTAGTAGTAGTAGTAGTAGTAGTAGTAGTAGTAGTAGTAGTAGTTGTAGTAGTAGTAGTAGCAGCAGCAGCAGTAGTAGTGGTGGTAGTAGTAGTAGTAGCAGCAATGGCAGCAGTAGTAGTAGGAGTAGCAGTAGCAGCAGCAGCCGCAGCAGTAATAGAGCCACGACACCGGTAATACTTGTAGCGACAGTATGCTGGTGCTGACCCCACCCACTTCTACTAAACATGTTTCAATCTCCTAGGACTGCCTGCTGCTGCTGCTGCTACTGCGGCTACGACGACGATGACTACTACTACTACTACTACTACTACTACTACTACTACTACTACTACTACTACTACTACTGCTGCCACTACCACTACCACGGCCACGGCCACTCCCACTTCCACTGCCGCTGCCACCGGCACCGCGACTGCCACTACCACTACCACTGCCACTGCGGCTGCTGCTGCTGCTGCTATCACTACGACGACGACGATGCCAGCGGTGGCGACGACGACCACGACTGCTGCTACTTTTGCTGAAGGCGTTTTCTGCTGCTGCTGCTGCTGCTGCTGCTTTCAGTACTTCCGGTCCTGATGCTGGCGGATTTTTACGCTGGAGATTAGCACTGCTGCCAAGGTTGTGCATGTCAGCCAAACCAACAACAACTTGTCGACTAGTCGTGGCGATAATCGCGAACTGTACATACCCTCGTCTGCGTTAGGTGCGAAGCCCTTAGCTCAGGCCCCACACCCATCCTGCAACCGACGTCGAACTTCAAGCCGTGAGTACTAAACACTTAAGCCCCGAATGCCTGAACCCTCAAACCATCTCAAACCCCTGAAACCCAAGCCGGCCCCCTTTCACGATTTGACAGGTCAAGGATTGCCACACGGATCAGCCTGCGACGTGCGATGCGCAGACGGCTTTGCGCGAGCTGACGGAGCCGATCTTGCGTTCTGCCAGGCTCTGCCACGGATTCGGATTCTGGAGCTTTGATCGGTTTGTGGGGGTTTCACCAGTTTCAGCGTATTAGAAAGGGTTTTGAAAGAGCTTTGGCATCTAAAGCTTTTTGATTTTGAGGCGTTAGGGATTGAGTTTGTATGGTTTAGTTATGGTGTACTTGCAGGAATTAGGGGCTTGAGGGACATGTGGCGTGTCTGCCTTCTTTGAAGGTATTCAGGGGCTTGTCGTGCTTTAACTGGGTCGTGCGCGGCCGTTGAGATGTCTTCAGAGAAGATTCATGGTTCCACGTGGCTGGGTTGGGAAATCCGAAGGTGCAACCCTTGAAGCCCATGAAAGTTAATGCCGAAATGGGGTCCCGAACTCCGGAATCGACACCATGGACCACACTGGTGGCTGTGCATCCTGTCAATTTGTCGAATCCCTGAACCTAAACCCGAAACTTCAATGCCCTGATGAAGGCCCCGAGTAGAGGATTGGTTGCTCAGGGTTTAGGGCTCGGAATGTAGGTTGACGGTTAAATACAGAAGCCTAAATCAGTCGTAACACTGTTTTTTTGTCCCCTTATAATTACAAACAGATATAGTGGATGATACCTCCACGCTCTTTTTGTATTCTGAAGGCGCTTATATGAGAGTTTCCGAAATAGGGGACCCCAATGTAGTACCCTAAGCCCTAAGTAGTAGGATCCTGAATGTAAGGACGCCAAGTTAAGGTACCCCTTGTTTTCGGAAACTCCCATTGTGGTGCCGACAAACCCATTGTCTTGTGGCGTCGGGCTGCGAGGACGGCCGCTGGCGCGTGCAGGGCGAATGCCTCCAGGAGGATGCAGAGGTCGTCCAGAGCGCTGCCGTGCAGGTTGTGCTTGAGGTGGGATCGACAGCACCGATTAGGGTTTACATGTATCATATACCATGTCATATCATACCATGTCGTGTCATATCATATCAGACCTTATCATGTCATACCATATCATACCATATCATATCGTACCATACCATACCTCATCGTATGATACCATATCAGTTCATATCAGTTCATATCTTGTCATATCATATCAGGTCATACCGTATCATACCAAAACCTGCTATATCAAACACTTCAGGCTATTGTAGTGTAGTTTTTTTGGGTTAAAGGTTCGGCTGTCAGGCCCCTCGAAGGACCCGAGCAGTGTGCCCACAATCCCGGATAGGCTGTTTGTATTCTGAAGGCCCTTATATTTTATATGACAGATTCTGAAAATAGGGGACCGTAAGATAGTCCCCGAAGCCCTAAGTAGTAGGATCCTCACGCGTGCAGATGATGGATTTGTCGCAAAATTATTCCCTGCCACCTTGCCACAGGACAGCTGCTAAGAGAAGAGCGACCCAAAGAACAGACGACGCTAGGGTTCGATGTGCAGAAGTATGGCAGCAACTCTAGACAGTGGCCGCAGGATTAAAGTTGCGAACGTTCTAAGAATTCGAACAGGGATTCGAGGCACAGCAACCGTGCGCAAATGTTGCAAGCCGCACAGTCAGTTACTATGTAGGGTTCAGGGCTCCTCACGGCGGGCTTAGTGCTAAACCCTGCAGTTGTGAGCTTCGAAGCTTGTTGTCCAGGCAATCCCGGATCGGAGCGCCCAGCCGAAACCTCTCAAACGCCTCGGATGTTGCAACTTATCCTTAAGCTCAAAGCTTGCACACTTCTCCCTGGCTTTGCCCAAGAAAACCTAAACCCTAAACCCTAAACAGCCTACGGTTGCAGGTGGCCCTCGACCTTCCAGAAGCAGCTCGGCCCGATACCCTAACCCTACTTGGAGGATCATGGGACTTAGTAAGTAAGGTTTAGGAATCCTTAAAAAGGATCCTTAAAGGGTTCCTTAAAGGGATCTAGAGGGTTTAGTGCTTAGGGTCTACTTGGAGGATCATGGGACTTAGTAAGTAAGGTTATAGGTTATAAGTACCTTAATTGGGGTTGTAAGTATAGTTACCCTAATTAACACCCTAGTTACTAAGACCCAGGATCCTTTAAGTAAATCCTATTTCCACGCCGAACCCAAAACCCTAAACCCCCAAATCCTTAAATACCCTAAACCCTAAATCCTAAACCACCCTAAACTCAAAAAGCTGAACCTGAAACCCTAAACCTCTAAACACCTATATCCCTGAACCCTTATAGGAACCCTGAAGCCTTAAAAATGAAATAGTACAGATATTTATTCAGGCTTATTTATAATTTATAACAATACCCTTATAGGAAACCCGAAACACGTAAACCCTAAACCTCTGAACCACTACACCCCCTAAATTCCCAAACCCCTAAGCCCCAAAGGACTCTTGGAGCCTGGTCCCTCAGAGCGTTAGTCTTGAACGCGAGGGCGCCTATTTCAAGGAACATACAACTTCAGTGGTTCTGAGTATGAGTAGGGCTTTGGGTGTAGGGTTCGGGGTTTAGGGTTTAGGGTTTGGTGAGTAAGGTAAAGAATAGCATTCTTACAGGGCTTTGGAGGGTTTGATGTGGGTGGCTTCGGCTAGCATTCAGTGAAGCTTCCACCAACTGCCGCAGTGGTCAGGTATCTCTCAATCGCCGCCAGTCCCCCTAAACCCTGAGCCCTAAGCCCTAAACCCTAAACCCTGCTGGGAACAAGCACTGTGACGTGTCCTGGTGGTCTCCTTGGGGCTCTCTTGATGGTCACCGTGGAACCTGATAGAGCCCCTGCAAGCGCCCAAAGGTTTGGGGTCTAGAAAACCCTATCAAACGCGATCAGAACACTGCAAACAGTTTTATTTATATAGCCCTGCAGCAAAACACTAAGGCGAACAACTACAGCAGCAGCCTACTGTGGGCGCAAGCGCACGAGGATGAGCTGTACTGGGCCTTCGCCAGGACTCGTTTGGATGTAGGGTTCACTCTAGTTGGAAGTAGGCTTTTCCCAAGTTGGCGGGGCTCCAGGCATTTGGGGTTCGAGGTTTAAGGTTTACGGCCTGTAGTCCAGGGAGTTTCGAACCTTAACCATAGACTCCCCAAACCTCAAGTCTTTCTGACACCGTTACTAAAGCCCTATACTGTCAAAGCAGCAAAAACGCTCGCTGTCTCAGAAACCCTGAAAGGAACCCTAGTAGTCCGAAAACTGAAACCCTAAACCCCCGAACTCTGAACTAGAGCCCGGAAGACAACGTTGCCATACGATGCTGTCAAAACCCTTACAGAGACCTCCGGATGGCAGCCCTACAGCCTGTAGAACCCGGGTCGAGTCGGGAGTTTGACAGGATCCTGTCGGAGAAATCCCTCTCGAAATCTGATAGAACTCCATAACAAACCCTGTACAGTAGAAGCCAAAAAGTTGGAAACCCAATAGCCTCAATCCTTAAGGGTAATGTGTGGGGAATCCCAGCACTATTTGGCCTTAGTCCGGCTTCCAACTTTATGGGGTTTAAAGCAGTAAACCCTAAGCACAGATCTCTTAGGACGCTGTCGGTGCATCCCAGTGAGCTGCGCCTGGAGCTACTTCCGGAGGTGGGGTCTGCGAGGCGGTTGCGCGGCACGGCTCCTTGGTTTGTAAGGGTTTTGGGGTTTGTAAGGGTTTGTAAGGGTGCCTTGTTCGTTTAAAGATTTAACGGTACTGCCAGGGTTTCTAGCCGTTTTGGACAGTTTACGGTTTTGGGTTTCTGCAAGCCCTCAACACTAAGCGTGGAACTCCCAACAGTCCAGGTTCGCGGCCATACACCCAAACTCAAGGCGTAGTGGGCGGCCCTAAACATGTGGGCTTGAGTAGTTGGTTTCCAGTATTATACCTTATGGTTCCTCACATAAGGTCGTTATAGTACTATACACGGGGACAGGTTTGGGTGCCTTGCAGCCCGACACGGCGGGGATGGAGAAAGAAGGAATGGGGGCCCCCAAATCCTGAACTCTAAGCCTTAAGCCCTATAAACCTTAAACTCGACATCTTCAGCCCCAACATCCACGAAACCGCAAACCCATCTTGCACAGAGTGTGATACTGTCTCTGCACGAGAAGTATCCACTCGCACTGAAGGGGACGGCTCATATGGGGTCGGAATAGTTTCTAAGCACATCTCTCTTTACAGTCGTACATGTGTTCAGGCCCAACCCTAAGCCCAAAAGCCTTTATTATAGGGCCTTGAACGCTACACAGAGATACTCCTTTATAGTCCGCTTTTTGTAACTACTCGAAAATATGTTCCTAAACCCTCCTCAAATTATCTAGTCTGGCCTCACCTATATTCAACCCCCACATAGCCCCTATTTGACCCTTAAGCACCTTTACAGAAGGCTTCTCTAGGGTTTTAGGGTTTAGGGCTTCTCTAGGGTTGTGAGGTTTACGGCTTATGTAGGGTTTAGGGTTTAGGGCTTATGTAGGGTTTAGGGTTTAGGGCTTATGTAGGGTTTAGGGTTGAGGGTGTATGTAGGGTTGTTTAGGGTTTAGGGCTTCTGCAGGGTTTAGGGTTTAGGGCTTATGTAGGGTTTTAGGGGTTAGGGTATAGGGTTTAGGCCATCCCTAAACCCTAAAACCCTACATAAACCCCAAACCCTAAACCCTACATAAGCCTTAAACCCTAAACCCTACATAAACCCTAAACCCTAAACCCTACATTAACCCTAAACCCTACATAAGCCCTAAACCCTAAACCCTACATAAGTCCTGAACCCTAGAGAAGCCCTAAACCTCACAACCCTAGAGAAGCCCTAAACCCTAAAACCCTAGAGAAGCCCTAAACCCTAAAACCCTACATAAACCCCAAACCCTAAACCCTACATAAGCCTTAAACCCTAAACCCTACATAAACCCTAAACCCTACATAAACCCTAAACCCTACATAAGCCCTAAACCCTAAACCCTACATAAACCGTAAACCCTAAAAGCCTACATGAGCCCTAAACCCTAAAACCCTAGAGAAACCCTAAACCCTAAAACCCTAGAGAAGCCCTAAACCCCACAACCCTAGAGAAGCCCTAAACCCTAAACCCTACATAAACCCTAAACCCTAAACCCTACATAAACCCTAAACCCTACATAAGCCCTAAGCCCTAAATCCTACCTGTAGCGGAAAAGACTTACTTTTTTAAGGAGCTATATCAAGAAATCATAATAAGGAACCCTAAAAAGGTTTGTCTTTTCGGCTACAGGTAGAGAAGCCCTAGACCCGCGAACCTGACGACCGAGGCGCTCACCTTCGCAGTCCGCCTCACCGAGCTTTTGGGCAGCGAAGTCCTCAGTCGTTCAGGGTTGATCTCGGTGGTTGAGAAAATTAGGGTCACTTTTTGGGTACCCTAAATAACAGGTGCCGTATTATATTAAGGACCCACAAAGGGACCCTAATTTTGACAACTACCCATAGGGTATTGGAGCTTAGGCTTCAGGGTTTGGGGCTATAGGGGCTTTGGGTTTATAGGGGCTTAGGGTTTAGGGGGCTTAGGGTTTAGGGCTACAAGGGCTTTGGGTTGAAAGGGGTTTAGGGTTTAGGGCTACAAGGGCTTTGTGTTCACAGGGGTTTAGGGGTTAGGGCTTCAGGGGCTTGAGGTTGAGGGGTTTAGGGTTTTGGGGTTGAGGGGTGTAGGGTTTAGGGTTTGCGGCATGGGGACTTTTGGATCCTCAATCAGTTGGAGTTCTTTCTGAAAGTTGAACCTTTGTGGTTTCGGGTCCTAGGGCTTCAGGGAGTACTTAAAACATCATGGGACTTAGTAACTAGGGTTATAATTAGGGTAACTATACTTATGACCCCAATCAAGGTACAAGGTACTTATAATCTTACTTACTAAGTCCCATGATCCTCCAAGTGGGGCAGTTCACAAGTCCCTTCCTCACATACGTGCTTGCGCGCTGGCTTAGTTAATTACTTACGTACTGCTGATTTACCTACTTACCTACTTACCTACTTACTTACTTACTTACTTAATTCCTACAGATCCCTCAGAGTACCCTTATGGATCCTTGTAAAGGTACCCTTAGAACCCCTTCGAAGGAACCCTCAGAATCCCTCATGGATCCCTTTCAAGGAACCCTTCGAATCCCTTCGACCACCCGAAGCCCCACAGGCCCCTAAACCCTAAACCACCCTACCACCCTAAACCCCTAAACCCTAAACCCCTCAACCCCTAAACCCTAAACCCCTAAACTCTAATGCCCTAAACCCTTAAAAGGAGCCTTTCTGATCCCCTACCCTTAGCGCTGGTTAGTAGGGAATGGAGGAATGGGGTATAATTATAACTACTATTACTACCATTCTTCCATTCCCTACTAACCAACGGTAAGTACCGGAAGCCCAGAAAGGCGCCTTAGACATGGAGTCGGCGGCTCAGAAGCTCCAAAGCCTCGATGGGGCGCAGGACGGCAACGTACATCTACGGGGCCCCAAGAATCAGAATAAATAAGGTTTAGAGTCCTTTTAAAGGGATTACTATAAGTGTACGATAACACAGGGGCCTCAAGAATCAGAATAACTAGAATAGGGTTCTTTAGGGTTTAGGGTTTAGGTTTTAGTGTTCAGGGTTTTAGGGTTTAGGGTTCTCTATAAAGGGTCTATAAGGGATCTGTAGTACGGTTCTGTATTGTAGTGGCCTCAAGAATCAGGATACCTAAGGTTTAGGGTTACTTTAAAGGGCTCTTATAAAGGGCCTTAGGGATTGCTATAAGGGCTACTATAAGCGTAGTACAGTATAGGGGCTTCAAGAATCAGGATAACTAGAATTGGGTTCTTTAAAGGGGTTCTGTAAAGGTTGAAAAGGGATTTATAGTAGGGTTCTATAATTATGTAGGGGCCTCAGCAATCAGAATAAATAAGGTTTAGGGTTCCTTTAAAGGGATTACTACAAGGGCTACTACAAGGGTAGGATGATATAGGGGCTTCAAGAATCAGAATAACTAGAATAGGGTTCTTTAGGGTTTAGGGTTTAAGTTTTAGGGTTTAGGGTTTAGTTTTTAGGGTTTAGGTTTTAGGGTTTAGGGTTCTCTATAAAGGGTCTATAAGGGATCTGTAGTACGGTTCTATATTGTAGGGGCTTCAAGAATCAGGATACCTAAGGTTTAGGGTTCCTTTAAAGGGCTCTTATCAAGGGCATTAAAGATTACTATAAGGGCTACTATAAGCGTAGTATCGTATAGGGGCCTCAAGAATCAGGATAACTAGAATTGGGTTCTTTAAAGGGGGGTCTGTAAAGGGTCAAAAAGGGATCTATAGAGGGGTTCTAAAAATTATGTAGGGGTCTCAACAATCAGAATAAATAAGGTTTAGGGTTCCTCTAAAGGGATTACTAAAAGGGCTACTATAACGGTAGGATAATACAGGGGCCTCAGGAATCACAATACGGTTTGGGGTAAATGAATCTCTCAGAGGAGCCCGTTCAGGAAACCTCCTTTTTAGGAACCTTTAAAGGAATCCCTTAAAGGAATCTCTTAAAGGCATCCCTTAAAGGAGCCTTGACAAACTGCAAAGCTGAAGGAGATGGAGGTCTTTGGCGGTGCCCTAGCGGAGGAGTTGCCAGGGCCTCAGGAGGTGTTTTTTGAAGGGGATAAATGGGTTTAGGGTTTTGTGGGGTTTCGGGGCCCTTTGAAGGGGTCTGTAGGGGTTACTATAAGGGATCCATAAGGGTTTAGGATTCACGGGTTTAGGGTTTTAGGGATTTAGGGTTTAAAGGATTTAGCGGTTTAGGGTTTAGTGTTTGCTGTGCAACAGCGCCTAGGCGAATGCAACTTGCGATGGAGATGTGTCGAGTGCATCGTACTATGGCGATGAGCTGTCAAAGCCTGTCTGTGGAAGGCAATCCTTCTTTCTCTCCCACCCCTTGAAGCGGCCAACCATGTGCAAAGTCTTCGGTGTGATTGTTCTTTCGACTTCAACACAGGCCCACCCCTGTGTGTGGGCACCACCCCTAAGGTATTGGCAGAGGGCTTGTTGTGTTTGTTTATTGATGTTGTTTTGACTCAATAACAAGACTAAGGCTCTGAGGTATATCATAGTACAGTCTTACAGGCATTCTACGAGGGATATGATTGCCAGATATGCACAAGGACGCTGATGGCTCTGATGCAGGTTTTGCTTCTCCAGGCCCAAGGGGTTTCAGCTTTAGGGTTTGAGGTTTAGGGTTTATGGATTGCCTGGAGCCGAAAAGACCTACCTTTTCAAGGAACTATATATAGAAACCATAATGAGGAATCCTAAACGGGTAGGTCTTTTCGGTACAGGTAGGGCTAATGGCCAAAGCTCCCAGAGCTATGGTCCGACACCTAACACCCCCCAACCCCCCAAAAAAGTAAAGCCCTGAAGCGTTAAACCTTCAATACCTTTAAAGCTGGAAGCCCGAAAAGTCAAAACCCACGGCTTTTGCAAGGCCGTCGCAGGGTCTCTCGGTAGACGGTTTTTGAGGGGTTTACCTGCAAAAGGGGGTGAACGGTTGCTAGAGTTACGGTCGGTTTGACAGCGCTGGATCTTGTAAGTGGGCCCTAAGCTCCAGACCCTGATTCGCGACACCGTCCTGTTAAATCTTGATATTACATCTTCTTAAAACCGGTTAGCCTTCGTGAGTCAAAGCCCACGTACGATTCCCAGGTACGGAGAGTCCGGCAACATCTCCGCAGTTGCGACGGTGGCCAGTGACGCGGCTCTTGTTACGATCTTCTTGGAAGCTATCATACCACGGATATTTTATGAGTGTATATATATATAATATACATATGTATGTATATATATATATATATTAGGTATTATGATTTCTTGATATTCCAGCAGTTGAAAGTCAGTTGCCCAATCCCAAACCCGAAGCCGTATAAAACCCTAACAGTGCCCTTGAGTCCCTGGTGGACAAGAACCCAGGCGTGGCCGCGATCGATCGCTACGTGCTGCCAGCACCATCTTGGCGCGTGGCTTGGAGAGAAAGAGCAGTGGATTTTGGCCCTTGGCGGGTTCAGGCTTGGTTCAGTTTGTTTTAGATTGGAAGTTTTCTTTCCCAGATTTTTTGGGTTTCAGCGTTTGGGGTATCAGTCGGGGGGGTGGGGTTACGTCTACCAGTACATCTAACATGGCCACTGTAACTCCTAAGCTCTGCGGTGTGCCCTTCACTGAGGCATTGCTTCACGACCCGAAGTTAATCCTTAAACCCAGACCATCCCAAACAACAAACTCTAAACCGTGGGTGGAGGGTTGAGGGTTCAGAGTTCAGGGTAAAGGGTTTCGGGTTCGTGATGGTGGAGGTCGAGTGGGACGACTCTGCCTGTGCAGCGTGCAGCGGTGGTCAGTCAATTGGCCAGGCAGGCACCATGAACTCACTACCTTAGGCTCTGTTCCGTCAGAAGAGTTTCAGAAGGATTCTACAAGGGTTCTAGAGGGCGTCTATCAGGGTTCTCTGAGCTCCCGAATCTAGAACAAACAGCAGTTTGGAAGTTCCACCACCTGGAGATATAATTCGAACACAGCAGTGTATCTGTCGCCTACTCGCAAATTTCTTCACTAAGCCCTAAACCCTAAAACGTAGTCTCAGGCATTGAAGCATAAACCCTGCGCAGCAAAGCCGGAACCTCCGATCGAGAACTTCCCAGGAAGAAGAGTCCTGGTTTAGGGTTTCTTCTTTTTCGCGGATCTAGAGCTCACACGTTTTTAAGCGGGTTGCCCCCCCCCCCAAACCCTAAATCCTCAACTATTCATCCCAAAGCCTTTTAGCCTTTTCCTTATGGCCCTGAGCTTAACACCCACTAGCCACCATTCGAATCAGTCCAAAGCCCTATGTCCCAAGAGTCGAAGCCCTACTTAACCCCAAGCTCTTCGCCCCAAAACACCTTATGCCCCGAAAGGTCTTCTGCAGCCGCGGCCCATGGCTGGCATGCGAGGGTCCGAATCTGGGCTCTGGAGTACCACACTTGAATGCGTTCTTCTGGGACCTGTTCCTTAAAGGAACCATTATGAAATCAAAGTCTGTGCTCCTTTGTGCCTGGTTACTTTTTTTTGTTTCTGGGTTCCCACGAAAATATGTAGCTAACCCAAATGCCAAGAAGCATCTACTTTTTCCCAGTGGGTTACTCAACAGCACAGGAATTCAAGTTTGTTCTAGGAACCCTTGCAACCCCGAACCCCAAGATCTGAACCCGAACCCCCCAAAGCCTAGGAATTCACCGGCCGGGCCACGGCCGTCGAACGCCCGCGACTGCCCGCCGTGCCGTTCACAGTCGGACCCGCGCCCCGGATGCAAAGTCGGAGCCAAAGGAAAGAGTTCAGGCCTTCGGGTTTAAAGAGACAATTCTGGGTGGGATATGTTGACTTTATTGGTTGAACTGTTGAATGGGATATGGTAGAAGCCAGAAAGTTGGAACATGGCTTCAGGAGGATTAGTGCTGGGATTCCCTTATACTTTACCTTAAGGGCACGAGGATAATTCTGTTTTAACTTTCTGGCTTCTACTATAGTGGGATATACTTTAGAAGCTGTGCCCACCCTGTAATAGTGACTATAAGGATTATATTAGGGCCTTATTATATTCCTATTATACCACTATTACAGGGTGGGGGCCCCTTCTAAGATATACTAGCGCAGGCCGTACAAAACGCACAGACGGAAAGGAGCGGGTTTAGAGATTTGGGGTTCTATAAACCGTAAGCCACGGTTTAGGGTTTAGGGGTTTAGCGTTCTATAAACCCTAAACCGCGGTTTATGGTTTAGGGGTTTAGGGTTTAGTAACTACTACTACCGAAGCCTGAAGTCTAAGCCGCACGTTTATGGCCTGGCTTTTTGGCATTGGCTTGAGATGTTTGGGGCTTAGGGTTTGCAGTGTGGGGGTGCCGGCTGTAGGATTTCTGAACCGACTACAGGTTCAGTAAAGTTTACGGGTTTAGGGGTTTACACAGGGGTTTAGGTGTTCCGGGGTTAGAACTTGGGGTGTAGGGGTGTAGGGTTGAGGGTTTTAGTTTTAGGGTATTAGTTATAGAGCTTAACATAATATAGGGGTCTAGTTTAGTCATAGAGTTTAGCATAATACAGGGGCTCAAATAATTCCCGATACTCTTCCTAAGGGCCCAAATTGCTGGCAACAGCGCCAGAACATTGTAGAGCCCCAGGACGCAATAGCGTTCGCAGCCATACGTGCCATCGGCTCTCCGACTTGGCACAGGAAATTACGAGCCCGCAGAGCTCGTGCGAGGCACCTCTTCAAGAAGGGTGCCACACTTCCTGGGCGGCAGGCCTGGGCTCTTGCTTCGCACCACGCGACTCCGAAGCAAGTCATCGATCGACTCGAGCTACGGATGGGCAAGTCCTCCCGACCATGGCATGCCAAAGCCGACGAGGGGGAGGGAAAAAAGTGGGACTATTGGCATGGCTCGTGGCGCTCGTCGCAGTCGCCCAAGCAGGGCAAGGGCCAAGGCAAGGGAAAGGACAAAGTCCACGACACCGGGAGATTCCCCGCCTACGATGCCAAGCCCAAGGATGCCAACGGAATGGTTCCCATCCAGGAACGTCGACTGATCACCGAGCGGAAAGAGCAGAAGCCTTCGCTGGTTCAGTCAGTCCAGAGTGCCCTCAATCATGCCCGGCGTTTGGATTCCAAGTTACAGCGCCTACAGGCCGAGCTCAAGCACAAGGATGTGTGCTGGGCCAACTATGTGGTGGAGCTGCAGCAGACGCTGAAGCAAGAGCAGCTTCGACACCAGCAGGACAAGCTTCGGATTGCACAAGAAATCGAAGACATCCAAGCGCAGCAAGCTGCTGCTCATCGCCAAGTGCAGGAGGCTGCCCTTCCGGAGCTCCGCGAGGCTACCACGACGGCAGCGAACAGAGCTGGCAATCTGTGGGAGCCCCATGTGGAGGAAGATGCCGACATGTCAGATGCTGGGGCGCTGACGCAAGATCTCACGCGCATCCTGGCGGATCTCCAAGCACAGGAGAAGACCAACAGGGCTGGGGACGCAGGCATGCCACCCACGCCCCCACATCGGCCACAATTCGGGGCAATGGAGACCCCCCCAAGAGCTACCCGACCGACGCCGATGCCCTCGCCCTCTACTCCTGGACCGGCGCTGAAGGACCCATACATCCTCTCGCCGGGCTCAGGGCCAGCCCTTGCGACTCCCAGTCCGCCGACAGATGCCAGATCTCCGATGAGTACGTCTACTCCGCGAAGCAACCAAAGGCCGGTGCACCATGGCAGATCTTCTTCGACGGAGGAGTTTGCCAGGAAGGGTATCAAGGAAGCCACCAAGAAGTCGCCGAACAGTGCGGATCATACAGGAAGTCGGACCATTGCGGACCGCCTCGAGGAGAGACGAGCCCGGGATCGGGCTGCTGCTGGGACGCATACGGAAAGCCAGGGATCGGTGGAATCGCCCACTTCGATTGCGAGGGGCCCAAAGCCGATTTTCCTCTCAGACGACGATGCAGAGGAGGATGCCGACCTTGCCGAGCAAGCCCTCTTCGATGCTGCAGGCGACTTGCGAACGATGGAGTAGTACAGTGGACTGCGATGCCACCAGCGCGGGTGGTGAGGCTCTCAATCGATCGTCTGGGGGTGCCACGCGGACACATGCGACCCAAGACTGGGGTATGTCTTGAGGTTGCATGTGCCTTGCAGTTCAGCCTCGGGCAAGATGATGAGAGTTTGTTCACCACCCCTGCTGGCAGTGACCTCTTTACTTTTGATGAGGGGCAGCTCTGTTTTGGTATAGTTAGGTTTCACCTGGTAGGCTGTGCAGGCAGAGACTCCCCTCCCTCTTTCACTGCAGTCGCTGCTTCGTCTTCCTCGGCGGACACTGCTTGGTCTTGGCAGTGTTCTTGCCCTCGCCTTGCCGCGATCTGCGGCCCAACAGCCGCTCCTCAGACTACTGCTAAGGTCACACACTGCCTTGCAACTGGAATCGACCTTTACGGTATGCAATGCGCCTCTTTTTTAGGCTGCACATGCTGTCAGGTTGCAATACTGGTCACAGAAGCCGCTTCCCCACATGAGCATCCATCCACCAATGCGGCATTTCTCAACTTGGCTCTGACCTTGTGTCTTTTGCTAGGGGGTGTGCACCGAATGCGCACCTGCCCTTCTTGGAGCTGCCAGTGGGAAGTGTTTCCAGGCTTCTGTCAACGGTTTGGGTACAGGATCTTGATAGCAAGACCTAGGCTCCCGACCCCTCCGCTCCTTTCACCGCGAGACAGTGCTAACTGTATTGGGTTAACAGCTCTGGTACTGTGTATGGTGCAAGGTGCACGAGGTCTCGACCGATGGGACGCTGCAGAGCAACTTGGAGCCGCGGCACATGTTCTCACCACTGGCTTTGGTCTGACAGTGATGACATTGCTGCTCCATTTGCTGGTGCGTGCCGTTGGGCTTGCCAGGACAATTTTGGCAAAGGGTTACTAGTCCTGTTCCCTGCCGTGCCCCTAAGGGTTGCTTTGGGTTTCGCCGGACTTACGCACACCCGGCTGCACCACAGGCACATCCGTTCTCGCAGCAAGCCTGACTCCAGCTCCTGCCCACCGACACGCCGTCGTCAGTCAGTGTATTGTCGATGGCTTAGCATGTTCCTATGTATGCTGCAAGGGGTTGTGCAGACACCGTCAGTTCCGGGAGTCATCCAGGTCCCGACACTGCAATGTTTGCTGACAGCGACCTGGACCGTTGGAGCTCAAGCCGCCGGAGAACCGTCTCCAGGTGATGCAACAGCCTCTCTTGCCCCGATCGCAGAAGGTGCAGCCGAAACGACAACCACACCACGACAGCCACGCAGAACCAGGGCCTCAGTCGCACCTCCACCTGACCGATTCTCCTATCTGACTGCGACTACCCCAGAGGAAGCTCAGGCCCAGCAGGAGGCACAGCATCTGCTAGGCGTGATGTCGTTTTGGCCGCACTATCAAACAGAGTATCTGTCCATACATGTTGGTCCCGAGGAGGGTGTCTCATCAGTGATGGCGCGGATGCGTCTGCTTCCTACTGACCGACATCGTGAGTATTTTACGCTCCAGGTTCCGGTCGATCCTCTTCCCTACTCGGGCATAGCTGCTGTCATTTCCTACTCAGAGATCATCCATGTTTCTGGCCACGTGGCGGTCGTGTTGGATTTGACTTCTTCAGGTGGTAACCTGTTTGCTACAGTTCTACCACGAATTTTGCCCTATGAGGAATGGGAGATCTTTGTCATGCCCATGCTGAGAGCCGATCACGATGAGTACGACGTGTACCTAGGTGCTGCCACGGAACCTTGTGATGGTCGAAGCGACCTTTGCTTGGAGCACGGCATGAAGATTACCGTTCTCATTGCAGGCTCACCTGCGAGATCCATACACCGGTTTGCAGATCTCTGCCACACCAGGGAGACCTGGGCTCATCCTGACAACATTCCGCGACCGGATAGTTCTGCAGGGCTGTGCCTGCTGCATCGACAGTCACGGTACTTCTTTCATCCTACCACCCGGGACAGTCGCCAATTGAGGCTGCTGCACAGTTTCTGCGCACTACGCCGGATCAAATCACTTGGCGTTGCCAGTGTGCCAGAGGTTCTTGATCTGTGCCAGCATGGGGAGCGGTGCAGAGGTCTAGTAGCCATAGAGGACCTGCCTCCTCCCTTGCCCGTTCCTCCTGCTCGGGATAGGCGGCCAGACTACTTTCTGTTCATAGATGCCAGGCCCCTAGGTATTCGCCCTAGACACCTCTTCCAACACAACTCTGCATGGAGTCTGGCGGCTATTTTGGCGTCGGTTCCGCTCCGCGTACCCCAGGAGTACCGGCTCAGGGTTGTCGGGGGTCGTCTTAGAGGGGATAGGTTACGGACCCACCCAGGGGAAACCATTGTCATTTTTGCTGAAAGAGATGATGGCACCGCGGTGCCAAATGCAGACAGTACCTCCGACAGCAGCACGGACGATGATGGTGAGGATTCTGACTCGGATGGCGACTCGCCCGACCCGGATGTGCGCGATGGTGCCCGCAGTCCGAACCCTGCACACGACCCAGGTACCCAGGCTCAGGCTGCCCGTCCACGCAGCCGCTCACCCAGGAGATACGGCTACGCAGGATGTGCTGCAACGTGCCGTGTTGAGGCAGTTGTCCAAGCCCATGACATGAACGTGCACGGTGCAGGTCTCACCTACACCTGTACTCAGGCTGGGCACTGCTTGGATCTTACCTGCGAACAACTTGTGACCCCTGCCACAGACGCTGCTTTTGCAGTTCATGTACCATTTGAGCTGGAGTCA